CGACCCAATCGATCTCTTCTACTTCGTTGTTGTTTTTTTTTTTTTTTCCTGTCTGGCCGCTCTTATCATATAAACTACTATTCCTTATTAACCAACATCATTACTCTTGTCTTGCTACATACATGTACATTTGAACTTGCAACTGAGGGCTAAAAGATTGGGGGTGCTTAATATGTGGGTTTATGTACTTAAGATACAAAAACTTAAAAAAATAATAAAAAAAAGCTAGTTTTCTTTTTTGTTTGCGGCCATCACAGCTTTCATTCGTACACAATGGTTTGCTTTAAAATCAGCTTACTTGTATTTATGTTCTCTGATTCACCTTTGTAAATCATTTTAAACCTTTGACCTTCCGGCCAATGTTTTCACTGGCAGGTTTGCGGGGGGGTTTTTTTTCCTCTCTAAATGATATTCATATGAATGCATGCATTCCTGAAATGTAACCAAAGTGGTTGAGAGATGCAAGGAACTCGTGTGGAAAGTGACCACGTGGAACATTTCTTGACCTACAGCTTAGACCAAGGGCAAACGGATTGGAGCCCACCCTCTATTTGCAACAAGTTAGTCCCACTATGCTGTGGTTACTGGACTCAGTCATGTTGCCAAGTCCCCCCCCCCCCCCCCCCCCCCCCCCCCAAAGCTCCAGAATACGCTTGGATGCTTTCTACAATGTGCGCCCACTTGGTTATTATTCTGTATTAGAGGTTGTATGAGCAGTAAAAGCACAAATGCTACCACTGTACAGACATAAGACAACCGGTGAGATGCACGCGTGGTTCAACTCAAGCACTGTTTTTCCTCCACCGCTCACGACTAACACCAAGTAGCCACCCACCGTGGCATCCTGTTACTGCATTACAACACTATCTCAGTTGGCTGGCTTAACGCAATCATTCCTCACCTCCGTTACAAGGGAGCCTACACTTCTTAAAGTTCGGGATTTTGAGCTTTTGGGTGGAATTTCAGAATGAACCTAAAATGCACTCTCAGTTTTTCTCACCGTTCTCTAAAAAGGTGGCTGGATGGCAAAATGGACACAAAGTTCGATCCATGTGAATGGGCCAGTAAATATCCTGGATCATTTTTACAATTGCTCTTTAAAACAGTCCTCGCTATCGTGCCGTTTTGACATCGTCAGACCAAATCGGCAAAAGCATCCTTGGAAATGGATTTAAGGTTCATCCTGGAATTTACTCAACAATCAAAGTACTGTATCCCTAACCTTATGTGAGTAGTACATATCCTGGAGCATGGCGGGATTGTGCCATCGTACTGCGCTGTTTTGACGTTTACACTGAACTGTCAGCGAGGGCCAAATGGTAACAAAAAATCTCTACTAATGGGCTTTAATGACAGAGCGGAAGTCAGGAATTATTTTCAGGTTTGAATCATTGAAATATGTGTGAGTGTGTATTTGTGTGTAAAGTACCTGTAGCTGTCGTTGGACTCCCCTACTGCCCCTCCTGAGAGCGGCTTCTTCTTGTGACAACTGAGGAAACTGCATGTGACTTCCACCACCAATGCCCACATTGCCCTCAACCAATCTTTTGTAGCTGTGTGTGTGCGCGCGCGCGTGTAGGTGTGTTCTTTTGTGCTCCCATCTTCTCCAGTGTTTGCCCGTTTGTTTATCCAGTTGCCATAGTGACCATGCCTCACTGCGCTAACAAGTGGCATTGTTTCCCACAGACGGCTTGTGCGCGTGTTATTTCTGTGGGCTCTCTTTTCGGATCAGTGTCATGACTTAACTGCTGCTCGGTGGAGCGCCACCTATGGGTCCATCTCCGTAACTGCACAGGCATCCATGTCAAGAGAGCGGACCAACATGTGCTCAGGTCCCGGCCCTGGACCACCTGCTGGCTTCAGCCCCTCTCCCCGCCCCCAGTTTTAAAAATGTTGTCCAAAGCTTCGCTGTTCTCTCAGAAGCCATAGCCAGCACTATGACTGTCCCTACAATGGGTGTGAGGCGTTTTTTTTTTTGTTTTTGTTTTTTTTGTGCACGTGTGGTGAAATCTATCAATGTTTTTTTTTTTTATAATTCGCCTTCCCAGCACTTGCCACGCTTTACTCAAAGGGCTGCCTCCGTCCCGTCCTCCCTGCGTGCACTTCTTTCCAGCCACGACTTCACTTTTGCCATCCGCCGCTACTTCCTTCCACCAATCACGTGACCCAATCAGCACGTCTGCACTTTTTTCGTTTTGGTCCTCAGTCTTTCCCTCTGTGTCTGATCCTGCTCGCGCAGCTTTAAATCTGACGCTCTGTGTATGTGTTTCTTTAATATCATTCAGCCAATTTATTATTATTATTTTTTGCATGTTGGCTTGGATGTCATTCATACATGAGAGTTTATTTTTTTCATCCAGCGCAAAGTGGGTCTGACAAAGATAATGTTTGTTTCATTTGATTATACATCAGCCATCAGTACACCGACCCTGCTTGTTTTTCTTTTTCCTCTCTCTCTCTCTCTCTCTCTCTCTCTCTCTCTCTCTAATGTGACATCAGATTAGGTCGCCATGGTTCCCAACCAAGAGGACCAGGTTTCGCAATCACACGCAAATACACACTTTGACTGAGGAGTGTATCTGTGTGTGTCTGTGAAATGTGGCACTTGAACATGCCATACACATTCACACGGGATTGATGAGTCTAGTGGTCCGTCTGTCATGTGGCCTGGTTCCAGATATCGTTGGTTTTAAATGGTTGTTGTTATTACTGTTGTTATACTGGTGAGTTTTCTTTTTTTTTTTATATTAAAAGGGAGTTCAAGTTGTATCATTTTTTTATATATATATCATTTGAATGGTTTTATTTGTATTTTTTTTTTCTTGCTAATTTCTCATATGGGCGTGATAATTATTGCCAGTCTTTTGAGTTTTTCTGATTAGATTTTTTTTTTCTTGGGTTTTCCCCTTCAACTTTATAAGGAATTATTTTTAAAGGAATTATTTGTCAATTGTCAAAGAGATATGAGTTAAGGGTTGTAGTATGTATATTGTATGGATATGAATTAAATGATTAACAAAACAACCAAATTATATTACATATGATTGAATAAAAATTTCCTGATACAGTTGCCGTTCTGGTTTGTTCTTCCTTTTTCCGTGTATCCTTCTTCTTACTCTGTGTAGGTGAAATTAGTCGACCTGAGATCATGACTTTCTTAATTTATCATAAAATAGAAACATCGGGTGCCACAAAACATTATCGACGCAAAACATAATTTGAATATTTTTTTAACTGCAGTTGTATGTTCATCATGTTCACTTTAGTACATTTTAGCAAATATTCCAAACAACAAAATCACGTCTCTCGATAACACCAGTGTGTTCTTTCCCCTAAATTGATAGTCTGTCTCTCTCACTTGACGCCATCTTGTTTTTCCAGCTGCGCCACTTTCACATCCTTGTCTACAACACGTCTCGGCACGCCACCGCCCTTTACCTCGGAAATTCCCTTGCCTCCGTGGGAATAGTCTGACGTCGCCATTTCAAATGATTACAATACATTGCTGGTTAATTGATTATCCGCAAATCACACGTACGGAAAAATAATCGAGATTTACACAAAGTCCAACGCTGCTAATGTGGGAAAATTGCTCGTCTTGTATGATTTTGGCGTGAATAGGGCGCTCTATGCTATTGAAAACCTGGTGTGTTTTTCTTCAAAGTGCGTTTAGGATGTTGTTCTATTGTTGCTCACATTCCAGCTTCTTGGTGGAATGTCAACTATTCAGTCCTTGTCGTGCACTCTGCTTACCTGACTGCATTTATGGGGGAAAAAAAACGGTTGTACTCTTGCACGCAGCAAATCAAAATTCACACAAATTGATTACCCCGCTGCTTGTTGGCTTTTGTCGATAGATTGTATCGTACGATACATAATCTCAATGTAATGCACGCCTTTTCAGAGTAACCAACTTCCTATTTGCAGACTGGATAAAAATAAATAAACATTGAAAGTTTATGTAGTGGTGCTTGCAAGTTGTTGTGGACATTGCCCTGTTTTGATCGTGAAGAGGACAAGAAAAAAAAAAGGTGTGATACTCTTAAGATGCCTTGTAAAAGAGAGAAAATGTGCCGCCCCAGATGAGGGAGAGGCTGTCGAGGTAAAGGTGAGCTGCGGGTCAGCTCTGGTGCTTTATTAACTCCTTTTTACAGCTGCCCTTCCCGCTATCTTTGCAGCAAGCCAAGCTGAGACAAAGAAAGATTGTACGACGACAATCGTGGAGCACTGACAGCAATACCTGTCTGTCAAGATTTTCGGAGGTGGTCAAAGAGCAAGAGCAGCAGCTAGTCTTCTCCTCAGCTTTTTGGATCAGCCACCTCTCTCTTGAACCGCACATTTTCAGCAAACAAAAATCACCGAATCGGTTCAATTCGAGGGGAGCTCTTGCAGAGATTTTTAAAAGAAGATGTGCGGGTTTTGGTGTATCGTCCTCCCAGCGTTGGGAGGGTACACCCTCGCCTCCTTATACCTGCTGAAGAACCCTCATATTCTTCATAAGAGGAAATGCGTGAGCTTCTACTGCACGCACATCTCCCACAGAGGAGGTAAGCGAGTGAACGGGTTTGAGGAGGATTTAGAGAAGGTCGACTTAGCCTTGCGTCTTTCAGCTCAGTGGCCGTAGCCAATTAAGATCTTTCTTGTCAAAATGTATGACTTATGCTAACTGCTTCCTGTCTGAACAGGATGTGGTGAGCGGATAGAAAGCACCATGGAGGCCTTCACTCAGTGAGTATGTCCAAAACAAAAAAAGTATAAAGAAATGATTTATCTCACCACCTTGATGAACTGACTGCAATTTAGTAGTTGTCCAAGGATTCCAATGCAAATGCCCGAGTGACAATACCAAACGTTAAAGCGCGTTGGAAAAGCACATGTACTGCAACCATTCACCATTTTATTATTTTTTTTTTGGTCCCACATGCAGTGCAGTGGCGCAAGGAACGCAGATGTTGGAACTGGATTGTCACTTGACGCGCGACGGCTATGTGGTTGTGTCACATGACGAGAATCTTTTGAGGCAGACAGGCCATGACATCACCATCTCTTCAGTCAGCATTCAGGTGGGGGGGATTGTCACCGACATCATATGGTTTCTTATGTATAAAAATTGCACTTGGGATAGTCTGTGCGGTATTAAAAATGGATCGATTCGAAACATTCAAGCATGATCGTTATGAAAAAAATCAGGAAGGAGGTCAAAAGTTTTTCGCCAATTTAATGCAAAAAGATACATGGAGCCATACCATATGTTCAGTCGACTCTATTCTGTTCTATTCTTGTACTCATTATGATGCAGGTGCAGTGATGCAATCCTGAATACTGCAACCGCCACAATAAACATTATCATATTAATACTGTGTCTCTGACATTGTGACTGTTCGCATTTGAGCATTAGTCTCTTTGCTCTTGTGCATGACTCTTGTCTTGAAACACATTAAATGTTCTTTTTCAGGATTTACCTTTGTACAAGGAGAGGCTTGAGTTGACTTTTTATCAAGGTGAGACACTCCTGTATAAACAGATCATTCACAAGTGGCAACAAAAACCCGTCAAACCGAATGTTTAAAACAATAGGAAGCGTGACCTCACTTGTGCGTAATCTTTTTCGTGCCTTCTGCCCACCAGGTCACTACAGCAGTGGTTCCGACAGGAAGTTTACTTTGCTGGAGGATGTGTTCAGAAAGTTCCCAGAAATCCCAATCAGTATTGAAATCAAAGAGAACAACGACCAGTTGATTGAAAAGGCAACCTGTAGACACACACACACACACACACAAATTACACGTCTAAGTGCTGTCCTGTCATACTGTAGTTTTTTTAGGTAGGTTTTATGAAAAGCCGAAACTGATCTTATGACAAAAACATTGGCACCATTTTTAACCAAATATGAACACTCTGACAATCATTAAAAAAAAACATTCAAAAATGCGAGGAACTGCATGCTCACAATTCCTTAAAAACAAAAAACTGACGTGAAGCTCAAAATGCATCATTTGACAGAATGTCCATTGTAAGTCTGCACTATCCTTAGTGTCCCTTAGCGACTATTTACATAGATCCATCTGTGATAAGCTTTGCATCTTGTATTCTCACAGCTGAACATTTGCACTTTTCGCAAAGTAACGTGCACTGACCCACTCGTGTTGCCGCCTTTGACGAAGGCCATAAAATGTACGTGAAAGCGGAAAGGCCGGAATTGTCGGATATTTGCCCTATTTTAACTGTCAACCTCTTTTGCGTAGGTATCTGAGCTGGTCAAACGCTACCACAGGGAGGAGATCACTGTCTGGGCGTCTGTGAACTCAAACATTTTGAGCAAATGCCGCCAAACGGTGAGTGAAATTTTTGTTCCAGCTCATTGTGCTGGCGTGGCCAAGAAATTGTCCTGTGAGCGTATGTCTCCGTTGCAATATGTTCATCTCAATGTCTTTTTTGTCTCTCCCCATCCAGAATGGAGCCATGCCGTACAGTTTTTCCTTATCCCGAGGTGTGCTACTGCTTCTCCTCTTCTACAGCGGCCTGCTGCCCTTTGTGCCACTGGGAGAGAGTTTACTGCAGTTCTACCTGCCGCGCATCATGAACAGGTGGCGTGCGGGACTTTTGCCACGATGAACAACCTTTGGAACGTTGATCTAGTTTTATAGCCCGGCCCTTCTGCGGCGTCATCTTTGCTCCATTTCTCATCTGTTGTTTCTCTTTGTGCGCAGGACGTTTATTCCCGAGAAGAACATTTTGAGGAACGGTTTGATCGTCACTTTAATAGAAAAGTGAGGCAGCGAAACCTTTCTTAGGTGCTTTCGTTTTGCGTTTCAAATAGTAGGCCTGTAACATGAACGTGAGTTGAAAAGTCACTCTTTGATTCTCTCATCCGATCGCCGCGGCGGGGGGGGTTTTCGATGGTGTCTTTCCAAATATACAAAGCATGCTTTTGAGATTTAATGAAGAATATGAATTATCAATAGCACGCATGTTGAGCTCGATTAGTGCAGGGTGTACCCTGCCTTTTGTCCAAAGCCAGCTAGAATAGACCTCTGATCAGCAAATGAATTTGTTTCCCAATCTCTGTCAAAATGGCTAACTTTGCAATTTTTCGTGATTGTAGACTAACGATGAGGAAGAGTCTCTTTAAACATCTTGCAGCCCGGGGAATTCAGGTACGACGCGATTGTGTATTTTCAGCTCTATTGGAAAAATAACTAGTGGACAAATAACTCATGCATGACCTTATAATCGCATCCCCAAGAGCATTCAACGAGTGAGTTCATCCCAAACTATATTAAGCACACACCGTAGTGAGTGTTTTTGCCCCGTCGTGATGTCATTTCTGCAGGGATGAGCTCACCCCCATAGCTGGGCCATGAGTGGCCTCCGTAATTGTTTTAGTGTGGAAAACAATTGAAGAGCAAATGCCATCATCCTGTCACGGCTGCACGCAGGAATGAGATTGCTTCAGGAGAGCTAAAAAGAGGACAAGTGTCCATATCTTGCCAATGGGAAGGATTTGATAACTTGCGGCATGCAGTTCAAATGACCGATTTACAGTGGGAATCATCACTAACGAATACAGCAACTAGGAGTATATCTATATAAAATTGTTTACGGAGAATGGTAGAACAAGTGTGTTATGTTATCACAATACTGTAGTGCTGAATATGTCACGATACTCCAGGGAAGTCTTTTTTTTTCCCCAACATTTGACTTTGCAACTTTGCAGGTGCATTTGTTTGTGTGCAACACAGATGAAGACATAAGAGCAGCATTCGAAGCGGGGGCAACGGGGGTGATGAGTGACTACCCCTCGCTGCTGTCCAACTACCTCCTCAGAAACACTCGGGAGGAGTGTGAGTTGTTCACGTCTGAAGTCCACAATACCTCATAAATGGCAGCTTTTCGGTGCACGAAGATCGGAAAAAGTCTTCAAGCAAGACGCGCATGTGAAGTGTCAGAACATTCTGACACATCTTTCAGGATTACTCAATTATAGTATGACTGATTCGTTTCCCCATGCCCCACCAAGAATCTTCCAGACACAGCTCAGTATTACATTAACATTTCCTAGCAACGTGACAGCTCATTCCTTATGATAAGACTGTGATTACTTTGTCATTACTTGAACGAATGATCTTCTGTACCGAACGCACGATTATCATTTGTATGTTTCAATGTGGTCACATAATGAGAATGTTATCAAAGAAGCAAATATAGAAAAGACAAAAAGAGTGTGTTCGCTTTTCCAAGGCATGGTCAAAGTCTGACCACATTGCTGCGGTATTAATCAAACAGTCTCTAGAGAGAGAACAAAGGCTGTATTTTTCTGACCCGATTAGCTGTGCTGTGCAACGGGACAAGTGGGTTAATGGAATATGAAAGGGTCACTGCCGAATCACGTAAGCATTTCAAAGAGAAAAGGTGTTCTTCCAGATGAGGAAATTCAGCTCGCTTGTGGACAAAGCTTTTTAAATACTGAATGGCACTTCTCAAATTGCAATAGACATAAGTTCTGATGAAGAGCCCATTGGTTTTGGCACCGTAGCATGACTGATTCTTTGAGAAATACAATCTGCAGTGGGTACTTTACGTAACACAACATACAACGTTGTGATTTCCATTGTAAAATGATCACCCTTGCAGAGATGACCATAAATGAATTGTTGCATACTGAAATTCCTAACTTGATACACCATTAAGATGTTTGGCGTATTCACGCAGATGAATATCATTATCAATCATACCATAATTAAAAATAATTTGAACAAATTTGTTTTTCAGAAGTGTGCATCAATCTAGTAGCCTTTCGCATTAATTACTACCCGAATAGCTCTCATTACCCAAGAAATGGGGTGACCTCTTGTCTTGGTCTTAAGTTGAACTCAAAATTTACATTTGACTCTGCATTTATTTGAATTGGGTTTGTCGAACAGATCCAGAACACAAGGATAGATTTCTCGTTTTACGGCAAAATTACATATTGTGTGGAACTCGTAGTCATGAATAGGGTCTAAAATTATACAATAATTTAACGTTTCAAATGAAGAAAATGAGAAAATATAGTACAGTAAATTCCTGTAAATTGGGCCCGAATCCCCAAAACAAAAGCAGGAAATGATAAGCCAATGCTTCGGGAACAGTTCGAACGAGCTCACGTGATGTCCAATCTGATTGGTTGACCCACATTCTTAGCGTTATTCCGCAGCTCCTATTGGTCCAAATCTTTTGTTTTGCCCTCCCATGTGCTTCAGACTCCCTAGCCGAGTGTGTTTTCATAAACAAACCACATTTTTCATCTGTCCGTGGTGCAATTAGTCACGAACCTGACAATTTGCCAACTCTGTCGAAAAGAGCTCTTTTATTCATTTTTAACAACAACAAATATTCTTTGGAAACGATTACATTTTACAAAGGAACGCGGCAACGCATGTCATAAACAGAAGCTCTCTGTATTTTCTTTATTGTCCGAGACGTCAACGCGTGGTCGACTGCTGCTGTGAGCCCAACTAGCGCTTCGTACCGTTTTAGTTTGTTGTTTTTTTTCTGCTGACAGTCACATCGGTCCACCGTCTGTAGGCAGAGAAGATTCCTGATATCGGGAGGTAAGTGGCTAAACGCGGGAAGAAGCTGCAGTGCGCTTTTTGAGCTGCTGCAATGTTGTGACAGTGCCGAGCTAGCCAACATGCTAACTTAAATCAGCCTCGGTCCGAGCGGGTTGATCGATCCGATCAGGTTACTGTACTGTGTTTTCGACCCGGTGTTATCGTGTATAATTGTAAAATTGGAGTGATGCTTTCTTACTAAGTCGAGTGGGGGCTGATTGATTTGGAAAACTGTTTTCTATGTTGAAGGAGGATGCCACGATAGACATGTCCGAGCATAACTCCTGCTTGGGGGGCTTGAGAATTGGCCATGATGTACGTGCTCAATCTGAGCCAGTTTAAAATTTCCATGTATTTGTAAAAGAAAACCAGGTTGCTGTTCATTGCTTTTCTCAACCTTTGTTGAGAATAGACACATTTTACTTTGAGAAAAATGTCATGGCATAGTACCAAATCAAAAAAATGCAAAAAGGAAAAAAAGGTAAATACAAGAGGACCTAATGCAAAAGCATTTAATTGTTCTGCCTGTCACCATATCACTGACATTAATCGACGAACACAGATATTTTGTCAACCTAATAGCATTCATCATTTTGAAAACAAAGGGGGAAAAAAACTAACATTCAACAAACAAGAGCAGTCCCGTTGCCTCAATTCAATCTTTGAGATGACCACGACCTGGAAAACTAGGAGTCTACACAGACTGGATGTCAATTAAAAATGACTTAGGCAGTTATACTATTTGGCTAATAACATTTTTTATAGTTAACAAGTATAAGTGGGTCATTTCCCCCGGCACACCTGATAGTCTCTCATAGCACACTAATGCAGTGTTCCCGATCTTTATCGAGCCAAGCCGCAAATATAAATTAGAAAACTCTCACGTAACATCACCAAACAAACATCGCTAAAAGGCAAGTTGACTGAAATAATGATGATCTTGTCTCAAATCATTCACAAAGGGTAGACTCCGATGTGATTGGCATAAATAGATGAACAAATATGGATTATGTCATTAAGAAATAATAGCTTTTGAAGAATAATGAAGTGGAATTGTATAATAAGGATAAGGAAAATATCAGGATATAATTGTCTAATTTCCTGCAGCATACCAGTGTGCTATGGGGACCCCGGTTGGAAGTCTTCGGTTTCTACAATAAAATATTCCCTTGTCTAACGTCATCAATACATACTATGCTACTGACTTCCTCATTGTTCCAGGGATGTTTCTCAGTGAGAACTGCATGAGCAAGAATAATGCGGCACCCCTTTCCTTCCTCAGATATGGTCAAGCTGACAAAAGCCAAGACGTTCCAGGCTTACCTGGACTCCTGCCACCGCCGCTACAGCTGTGTTCACTGCCGCGCCCATCTGGCCAACCATGATGATCTTATCTCGAAGGTCAGCTGCCACCCTTTTGTTGTAGTTATCATTTCACGTGGCTTGTGTATTTTCATACTCAACTAAGCGCCTTGCGGCACTATTCTTTAAATTGTAAATTCAGATTTTTTTTTTCCGCACAAAACTTATATATTTAAAAGATGTGCAAGAACTATAGTTTGACCATTTATTGTCTTTTTTTTTTTTTTAAAGACAAAAACTTAAGGATCTGGTTAGGTTCCAAAATTGCCTTGAAATATTTTCCTGATCTTTGATTTTCCTCCTTTGTGTTGCCTAGTCTTTCCAAGGAAGTCAAGGCAGGGCTTACCTCTTCAACTCTGTGTGAGTATTTTCATTTCAGTTTTACTTTTTGATGACTGATCAAAAGTGTTCTCATTAGACTAATTCCATATGTAGGTTAGTCCCCCTCACCTCCTCATTATTATTTTTGAATTAGTCCAGTCATAGCTTCAGCAGTCTTCCAGTATCAGACATGTTGACACAAATCTGATAGAGCGCAGATAATTTGAATTATTCTTGAATGGATTCTGAAGTTGGGTGTTAGCCGTGCGGTTAGTAGGTCAGTAATACACTGGCTCTTGACTTGACGGTACGACGTTAGCACTGGAAATGACTGTCTAGTCTATCTTGTTTCAATCTTAATTTGTTGAGCCCCGAATAATGTTTTGTTTCTGTGCTACCCAAGCATGACTGCATTGTTTCAACAAATCAGGACATCTGACTGCTGTTTGATGATTTTCAGGGTGAACATCGGCTGTGGCCCTGCAGAGGAAAGGCTGCTGCTCACGGGTCTTCACGCAGTGGCTGACATCTACTGTGAAAACTGTCACACCACCCTGGGCTGGAAATATGTAAGTGTCTCGACATTCACGCAGAGTGGTCAGAATCGTACGTTAGAATTCATCCGTACTCGATGCGCCAGCTGCCTTGTTTTGCGGGGAAACAAAATGAAAACAACTGTTGCGGTGGATGAGTTTGAAATAGCAAAACATCTGGATTTTCTTTGGGCTTCCGGTCCTAACAACTGACGTCTCCTCTTCCCAGGAACAAGCCTTTGAACTGAGTCAGAAGTACAAGGAAGGGAAGTACATCATCGAGCTGTCTCATATGATAAAAGACAACGGCTGGGACTGAGCGGGAAATCTTCATTGTTCTCCATGACTTTCTTTTTTCCTTTTTTCCCAAAAGTTGCATCCCCTCGTCCTAGCGGGGTTCCAGTGTAGCTTCCTCATCCCGCATTCGAGCCATCGCCGTGCCGCACTTTCACTCTCTATGGCTTTGCCATGAATAGCATGTGATGCCTTATCTTCCTCCGTTCTTTGTGTGTTTTCCAGCAGCCACAGCAAGGTTTCTGATAATGCAATCCCAAATGCTAGCTGCGCTCGGGGCGGGTGTGAATGACTGTCGGGTTTGTGTGTGGAATAACTCTCGGGCACGTGTGTGGTCATTGGATTTTTAGGCGTGTGTTTGAGTGATGAACCTCTTATCAGTGATCAATAAGCAAGACTCACTCGGTAGGGTTGAGGCCGGTGCAAGTCAAACAATAGTGACCTTGCATTCTTGTTTTTGGGTTTTTTCTCTCCCTTCCTATGTTTACAATGCCGATCTTAATATATCTGGCCAAGACACAGATTATGCAAGTCAATTGATGAAGCAGTGGAGCTCTTTTTTTGAACAATTATAGTTTCTGTTTTTATAAAGATCACTTCAGAGTTTGTCAGTTATAGAAGTTGTTGAATTAGTAATGGTCCCATGCCCATACGCATTTCCCGCAGGTAATTTAAAAACCGAACTCTCTTCGACTTGTGGATGTGAGAGTGTGTGCGGACATGTGTCCTTGGTCATTCAGCTCTGTGGGGAACTTGGCATGACAAAGAGCACATATTTAGCTAAGTGTGGGTGTGTCAATAGTAGAACTGGCTCTCTGGTAGGTGTCAGATGCTTGAATTTGATCATTGGATTTTGAGTCTAAAAAGTGTCCTCACAGTGGCTGAATTTCAAGTTGGCGTTTGCAGTGTATACCTGGAGTTTTACCTGCACAATTAGGAAATCCACTACTTGCTGACATTCTAGAGTGAGCCTCTATGTGTTTGTTTTGCGGTGTCACGATGAGAGGCCCTTTGCAGCTCCATTTACTCAATCGTGTTTGAGCAATGTGTGATTAGAATTATATAGCATATTTTATGGTGATTTTTATTGTCTGCTTCTTTTCATTAAAGTATAATTTTAATCTGATCTTTCATTAAAATTAAAATACTGTACAGTCCACGTGTAATGTGTTGCAGCTTGTCATAGCTTTAAGCATGTATGGAATTCGAGCCCATGAATGCATCCATTTCTCTATCAGATACACTGTTTATTCTGTACTAGGCTCAGGAGGGGCACAACGATAAGGAAATGTAAACAGTCTAGTACACGAGACAAAACACCTAATAGGGCGTTAGTCACAGATGAATTTGGCTGGCACATTTCGCCCCACGGGAGGGAGGCTGACTCAAACGCCACACCAAAAGGCCAAATTGCTGACTAGAACCCAGAACCTTCTCGGTGAATTAACTCTAGGCTGCCAAAGTGTAAAAACCTGCTTCTGCTGAGTTGAAAACAAAATATTGTAGCATGTTAAGAGAGCTCTAGTTTGCAGAAAGGCAAGTTGCGTGACGAACTGTGGAGAAACAACAGTATTAGAATTAAGTACATTCTTCTTACTTAAGTAAACACTATTAGAAATGAAGTACGGTATTTAAATATTTTCCCATGAAGGATTTGCTACTGAAAGGTTGGGCATAATTTAGTCAGATTATTCCTAACATTTGGGAGTTTTATGAAGTCGATTTATTTTGTTTCGCTATAATGTGTATTTATAGTTTTTGTGATCCCCTAACGAAATGTTGTAGCTAAAAAGTAATATGTAAAATAAATGTACACTGGTGGCCGAACTGCAGGTAATGCACTTGCAGCAGAATATACCACTCCATAAACACGGTTCATTCAACTGACAACAGTTAATGTCGTCCATCAAACTGCTATAAATATTAGCAATCCATACAAATGACTTAAAAATTTTATTTTCCATAACGGTTTACAGGGGGTCGAATGTTTCCATTAAAATAGTACATCTCCGTAATTATGGCGCCAAGCACCCCCCGAATCCATACAAATGGGTCCTTCCGAGTCGGTTGGTCACGTGACTTTTTCCGTTTCGCCATTTTCCCCTTCTGCACCGGTTCTGCAGCTCGCTGTACCCTGTAGCAACACCCGTCCGAGGCTGACAGTGGGATCGAGGTAAACGCGAAGAGAACCTTCTCCCGTCGCTTCTTGGGCCCGTAAATACTGCGAGAATGTCATCTGAGGAGAGCCCCGAGTACTCGCCTTTCTTCGCTGTGATGGGAGCCTCTGCGGCCATGGTCTTCAGTGGTAACTACAGCTCCTGCTTCATTTGACATTTGATGTTCGTCAGCTTTGCCTGTCGTGCAGCCCGAATCGGTGACCCCCCAAAATCAGCCGCGTGTTTAGTGAAGTGCGGTCGAATTGAGTAAGAAGTGGTCACGTTTCGTACACTAGCCGGCAATGGCGTGCTATGAGGCGGGGGGCGGCTTGCTACCACCCGGCCTTCGTCGAATAAGCGAGCGACCACCAAGTGTTGCTAGTTTGGTTGTCGCGGATGAAACGACACCTAACCAACCAATCAATCGTTTGGTACTCTGCAATTTTGAGGCTATAGTGTGAAGTCATGAAATCCTATTTTGATTATCAGTTTTGAATGAAATCGCACGCATTCGGGTAGAGGCTGTTTGAGGCCTGCTATCAGTGAAGGAGAAAACCATACATCCACTCACTCATTCATTCGCGAGGGCCTCTTGCTTGACATGCATTGGGCGAGGAACATATGGTACACCCAGGGCGTTTCCTCCAACTTTCTGGAAAGGCAGAGGACACTACCTTTATGTCCAGTTGGATTTTAGATTAACATTTGGGCCCAGGGGGTCTGAAAGTCATTGTAGTTAGGATTTAACTCAGAAGGGCTTTACTAACTGAACCCATCCATCCATGAATTCTCTGCTCTGCTTATCCTTATTAAAATTGCAGGTGTTCTCGAGCCAATCCTATCTGACTTTGGGCAATAAGTGGGGTACAGCCTGGATGAGTCACCAGTCACTCGTAGGCCTGAAATCCTCCAGTACCGTATTAAATTGCTTTGAGAATTTATGACAAGCCCACTGTACTTGTGGCATCCAATAAAAACACAACTCTGAACAAATCAAAAAACAGCCCTGTTTTGTCGGCTGAAGTGCCACCTCCGCGCTCAAAAGGAAAGCCCAACATATGAGTTCTAGACAAAAGCTGAGCCGCACCATTCTGAGCTAATTGGAGACTGTAATCAAGTTTGGTGGAGGTTGGTGAAAAGGAACTTGTAAAAGTCGAGACGTGAGGAGACAAAAGCAGAAATTATTATTTCTAGACAGTTTTTTGTCACGTTTATTTTTATGCCACAGAAAACTACAACCACACGAATAAAGCTAATCGGTCAAAAGCGTCATTGCTTTGTTTTAGAATGCGTGCTTGAGTTATCAACGCACTTCCAAAATACTGTATGTCACAATAAATGTCTTCATGGTTGATACCTGAGCACGTAGTTGGAATTACCATCAATTTTTAAAAGAACTGTTAGTCGCCGTGTATAAGATTAAATGGCCAACAGCATTAGCTTGTGAATTTATTGTTCAAGTTACCAAATAAAAAGAAGAGTCATTCCATCACAAAGCTTTTTAATGAGGCGACTTTTAAGGTGTTTCACAAGTAGGCTTACAATACAGTTTGAAAGCAGTTTCATTTGGGTACAGGATTTGTCATTTGCCTAATATGTTCATTTAATGACTAGCTGGACACAGAAGCGATGTCTTCCTCTTTTCCAGCGACGAAAAGAATTAAGACTACACGGCAGGGATGCTCCATGATGCACTCATAGCAGATGGCTCATCATTTACCAGTCCTGTGATGCTCAGCAAAAACATCACTCTTATTTTGGTTGTTGTCAGTCCAGAGCAATGAAAACAAATGTTATTCAATGCACAGTAATTAACAAGTATTCAAAAAAATCCTACTGCAGCAAGTGAGAAGAGTTGTTCGGGGGGGGGGGAAAAATGCCGCAAGGGGAGAGGGTGGTGCGGGGGGGGGGGGGTGTTCATTTGCTTCCGGTGTATCTGAGCTATACTTGTATAAAATAAGACCTCGTGATCACAATGTGTTGCATTGTGAACATTAAAAAAAAAAAGACTGTATAAACAGTTAGCCACATGTTTCTCCTTTAGCTCTAGGCGCAGCGTATGGAACAGCAAAGAGCGGCACGGGCATCGCTGCCATGTCTGTGATGAGACCAGAGCTCATCATGAAGTCCATCATTCCTGTGGTCATGGCGGGTATCATCGCCATCTACGGGCTGGTGGTGGCAGTGCTGATAGCAAACAACATCTCGGAGCGGGTCACGCTCTACAAGTAAGACTCATCACATACATAGTGCTGTCTCTACACGGGCTGTGGTTACTTGTGTACCGGAGATGCTTTTGCTAGCACTGCTTGGCTCTTTTATCATTGAATGGAATGTATTAGTGCAGTCTGGAGTCCTCGACGTTTGCTTGGCCATGTCAACAAGGATAGCAGAGAAAACACAATCAATTGCAACCCCTTGTCGCACTGAAATTTTTTGCTCGTCTTCAACAAATAGAATGGAGCAGATACTATTTTTTTTTATTGGTTTGGACCTTTTGCTCCATGTTGTCAACCTTCGTGTCTGTTTCCTTCAACAGAAGCTTCCTTCATCTAGGCGCTGGTCTGAGTGTGGGCCTGAGCGGTCTGGCGGCCGGTTTCGCCATCGGCATCGTCGGTGACGCCGGCGTGAGAGGCACGGCCCAGCAGCCCCGCCTTTTCGTGGGCATGATCTTGATCCTGATTTTCGCCGAGGTGCTGGGGCTTTATGGCCTGATTGTGGCTCTTATCCTATCTACAAAATAAGCGTCCGCAACCAGCGCCATTTCATTCATTCCACATCGAAGCAGCGAGAACAAATAGATTTTCACCAACTTCCATGACACCAAGAGGGCCTGACAGGATGGGATGGCAAGCTGAGGCGTGTTGCCGCTGGACCTGACCTGGCAGTTTCTGTCATCAATAGTTGTGATCTGTTCAAAGTGTATATTCCAAGCCATCCAGTTGTGTCAGGTGCGGTGTACAGAGGGCATGAAGATGTGTTGGTTGTTGTGGGATGATATGTGGACAGTCTGCCTGATGTGTTGTCTGATCTTATCCTGTACAGTGGTCATCCCTTGTAAATGTAGTAATCAGTCTGTGCTGTGTTGAGTATCAACGTTCCCCCCGACCCCAACCCCACCCTACTATAATTTCTGCTTTTGTCACTCTCATCCGACACTACAGCGGAATTGTGCACATCAGTATTTTCTTTTGTTTTAATGTTCTGTTTGGGGACCATTTTTTGAATTACAGCAGTGAAGAGCTGTCAATTTTTTTTTTTTTTTTTTGCTATTTATGGAACGCTATGGAGACTTAATGAAACTGTCTAAATGGAGTACTGTTTATGAAATTCCCTATATACATTAAAATATATAAATTATGTGTGTATAGTTAGAGTAACTGCACTGTTGGTAATTGTTCTAAGTGCTTGAAATTTCCTCTGGATGTAGTGTGATTTATTAATGGAGGATGTCCACATGTTAATATGAAGTTGGAAGTGTGTGATCTGACTGCATCATGTGTGCAAGTACATTTCTGTTTACTATGGGATCTTCGAACACTATTCTTGTCAACCTGTAGTGTTGCTGTCTTGATTTTGTTTGTTTTAAGGTCACTGTTCAACTGTGCTATAGTCAGATTTCCAAATAAAACTCATCCTCCTCCTGAACATTGTGGTCAAGCTCTTTCTTTAAAAATCGAATCAAATCAAGACTTGGGCTATTTCAAAAGATTTTTAGAAAGAACAAATGAATCCCCAAATTATTTTCAATTTATTTGGTTTGCTTCTGATAAAAACTACCAACTAAGTCGTTCTTGCTGTATAGTACGTGACAGGAAGTGCAGATGAAAAAAACAGGTTGAGCAACTTGTTTTGCTAAATTGTGATATTTACTTTAGAGCAAGATCAACATTCATATTGTCATACTGTCGATACTTTACTATAATCACACTGATTTCCCCAAGCAGTGTTTACACTTCAGGCCAATTATATTGCTTTTTATTTTTGTAATACAGTTTATGTTACTTTCTTGTAAAAATAGTTGATGATGACATCATCGCATTAAAAACATGTAATAGCTTACATATAAATAACGAACAGCTCCATTTATAGTGATTTCTATCGTTTCGATCGAAAACTTCCGGAAAAGGAAGGCGCGAAGTGGTGCCTGAGCTCCATATCCGCTTGCATGTTATTGTTTACGATCGCACTTGACGAAAACTGGGTCAGGCAAAAATAGAAAGCATACAGTCACACATTCCTTCGTCGTCTCTGGATATGCGCCTTTGATGAAGATTCTCTGTTCCGTTGACAACAGGCAGGTAACGTTGATGCTAGAATGCTACTAGCAGCCAACCAAAGCTAACTAGCTTGGAATGTATCTTTGCATTTTCATGCGGGCAACTTACAACACGTTCGCTGCTAGTTAAGTCTGCGTTCATCAAATTCGCCTGCACGAAAAATAACAGTACTTAAGTGTCTCAATTTAACCTTTTTAACAAAGATAACATATCTCATCGAAACCGTTGCTATTAGGCGATAGCTGGTCACTTGGTTCGATGACTCAAAATCCACCCCACCCCCCCTCAAAAAAATCTGGCATCACATGTCAAATCATCATTGTTTGTTGGACGATGTTGCGATCATCCAAAAGGTGAACATTTCTATTCATAAATAGTTTTGAAGCTAATCTAAATTTGCGTGGTCACTCACGTACATGCAGGCTACAAATAAGAGATTTGTTTCATTCCACTTGGTTCATGATTAAAAATCATTTGCGCTCTTGCGGCAGCTGGACAGATGTTGTTTGACACCTTCGCATCTCGATTCAACGTGACCGCCAAGTGAGAGTCAAGATCCTCGTTGCTGCCATGTCCAGGCGAGGCAGAAACAGCCGCGCTTGGCGTTACGTTTGGGGCGGAATACGCCGAGATGCTGATGCAAGAGCGCTTGTTTTGGCGTCGGAAAGTGACGGATGGGGCTATGAGCGCCTGGAGGTTAGCACTTATCTGTAATTGCGATGCTGAATACATTTATGATCTCTCAATTCCCGTCTCTTCCCTTTCGCTCTCAAGTACAGCGATTCGGATTCGGAGGCCGATTACTCGACGGTGATGGTCCCTCCGGTGGCCAGCGCTGTGCCCGTGACCGGAGAGTCTTACTGTGGCTGCGACTACCAGGCGGAGACCATCCATCACCGCCAAGGTTTTTACCAAGTCAAAGACTGTCTCTGCGGAGAAGATGATCAAGGTCAGATATGCTGTAGAGTAAGATGCATTGGTTCTTGTATCCCAGCGGATTTTTAAAATCTTGGCTGTTTTGACCATTTTAGATTTTGACTGGGTTTGGGACGCCGGCAGCCGATCAACAGCAACGTTACTGAGCTGCGACAATCGCGAAGTCAACTTTCACTCCGAGTACAGCTGCGGCACGGCTGCCATCCGTGGTTCCAAGGAGCTGGCGGAAGGGCAACACTTTTGGGAAATCAAGATGACGTCTCCCGTTTACGGAACAGACATGGTATGCACACGGTCTGGAATAATAGAAACCAGTTTTGTTGTTATGAAGCTGAAGTGGATTATTTTTTCTCTCTTTTAACTTTGCTCAGATGGTTGGAATCGGTACTTCTGACGTCAACCTTGACAGATACAGACATTCGTTCTGCAGCCTGTTGGGAAAAGATGTAGACAGCTGGGGCCTGTCTTACACCGGTACAAGCATGTTGACGAAGCCCCTTTTTGTTTTTCGACATGAATATACATGCCATCAATCGTTGTTAATACAGGTGCGGATGTCTGACGTCGTGTTCTTTCGGACAGGCTTGTTGCATCATAAAGGAGACAAGATGAACTTTTCGTCTCGGTTCGGCCAGGGCTCCATCATTGGGGTTCATCTGGACACGTGGCATGGCACGCTTACATTCTTCAAGAATCGCAAGTGCATCGGTACGTTCAAAAGAACGGAGTGGAATAGTTTTCCCAGGCATACTTATTGGGGAATGCTGAAATTGGTTGTGACAAAACGCAAAAAAAAAAGCACTAATTCTAAGCGGACACATACCTAACCATTGCATAAAAATTGGATTATCGCACATAAAAAGTTATTTTGAACTTTAATAACTGCCTCTAAAAGTGTCTTTACAAATTGGTGGCCACTAGAGGGTGCTTGAACGACTGCTTGTTACCCGGATGATTGTTTCACATTTAGCACAAGTGAGTGAAGGGTGTGGTGCTTCCTCACACGTTAGAATGAACATGATTCAAAGTGCTAAGCTTTGAATGTGACTGACTATAAATTCGGGTTACATCGCCAGCTTCGGCACGCTGTCCATCGTAAACCAACAACCCGACGACGTTAACGTTGTTGTAAATTCAAACCACTGCTCGACAAATATAATGTACCGTAATATCTAGTCGATGTATTTTATATGTGCACTACCTGTCTAACAACATTCCATGAATGGTGACTCGTGTCTCTCTTGCCCCACTAGGCGTCGCTGCCACAGATCTCCAGAACAAACGGTTTTACCCGATGGCGTGCTCCACGGCAGCCAAAAGCAGTATGAAGGTGATCCGATCCTGCTCCGCGCCCACCTCCCTTTTGTACCTGTGCTGCGTTCGCCTTCGCCAGCTCCGGCCAGACTGTACAGACACCCTGGATGTTCTGCCCCTGCCGCCGGGGCTTCGCCACCTCTTGCACAACAAACTGGGTTGGCTGCTCAATCTCCACGGCGGCTCCGCAGACGAAAGCGCAGACATCCCCGAACCTTCCCCGCGCTTGGCCCTCCCTCCCTCGGCCGGCCCGTCGTCCTGGGAGAGCGACTCGGAGGGCTGCGCGTCCGACCCCGAGGCCTGCCAGCGGAAGAGGTGCCGCTGGACTTGACATCCTGCGCTTGACGCAGACAGATGTTGCTCTTACTGCAAGTCCGAAGTACCTGCCTCAAAACTTTCCCCTCGAGTGTGTTGCAGTATTGAAAAAAGTGATCGGACAGGAGCGTCTTCTCTTGCCACGAGAATGTCTCGATTCCCATCCCTCACACGCTATCCAATGCAGGACTACAAAACAAGACGACGTCAACTGTAGATCTCTCTTGCCGTTCCTGAACAGGGGATTTGTTTTTAATTCAAGGACGTACTGTCGAACGTAAGTCTCAAACATGGCTACGATTTGGGTGTTTTTCTGCAAACGTGGGTTGCTTGAATTGAGCCATGTAGTGTAGCGCTTATTCTTTGTTGCCATGTATGCAAATAGCGCAAAATCTTAAATTAAATGCAATCACTTAATCAAAAATAATCACCAACATTGCCCACTGTAATTTGGTTGGATTATTTGTCAGAAAAAAGAATGAGTGGACGACTTTGGACGGCACATCATGAAAATGATTCAAAAGAAGGACCAACACGCTGGTTATAAGTGTTACATTCAACCGCCTTTATTTACTGCGACATCACTCTTTCAATATTTTTTTATGTACGCATGTTTCAAACACCGTCGTCACCTTTTATTAGACTTAGAAGAAAGTCATTTTTAATAAAACACCTACAATCGTTTTTATTGGAATTAACATTTAAAACTGGAAACTCTGTACGGCACCTGGGAGGCCGGTTCCACACACAAAGCATGTGCTAGGCCAGCCAGCTTTTCTCTGAGGTGTGCTCATTACAGAACGCTCAAAGGTGTTTCTCCTCAATTGGAAAACAGTGCGTTAGTCGACAAATTAGGTCTTTCTAATTATTGGCTTGTTCAGAGGATCAATTCTACTCCGATTCACTCCACGTCTTTGTCCTCACGAGCACTTATTTTCATGCCTCAAGACCATCGTGATGACTTAAGTTACAATAGAAGTATTCTGTTCTTTCTGAAAAAAAAATGGAATTGTTTGTTACGGTGCGGCTATTTCCAGTGTTAGCTAAGCGACAATTTCCTCCTGCAGATCTGTTAGTGTTAGTTGCTTTTATGTTTGTGGTCTTTTACACTATTTGTCTTTTATTGATGCGTCCATGCACTTACCGTTGTGTCATTTGATAAAAAAGGAAGAAAAGTAACATTTTCACCTTAGTTTTAACCGATTATTTGAAGGCCTTTCGCTTGCTTTTTTTCAGCAAAATGATTTTCAGATGAAATTAAAGTGAATGCTGAATATGCACAAACATGTTTTCTTTTGTGAACAACAGTAACCTTCTGCAGTTTATCCAGTTTGGCGGCTCAGCACGTGGACTGGCATTATGAACACACATTATTATTCCACATTACTCATTGAGATCTGAAAATATGGCATGGCTGTTGATGGATAATTTGTCCACCGTTATGGAAGTGAGAAAATAACTTTATTTTTGGAATTAAATGCTTTGAGCATGTTAATATTTTTCAAAAAGAACACTTGGGAAGAACAAACTTCCTTGGACCACGTTTTAAACGTACATGTATACCTCCCAAAAAAAATCTAAATATCGTCCAAAGTCTCTCTATATAGGAGTTTAGATTTTTACATTGAACTACTGAATGACGGTAACGTTTCTACGATATTTTGTGGTAAACGAAAGAAAACGCAATACCACAAGTATCCAGAGGTAGGCAGCAATGCACAGCATTACAGTTGTCAGCTACGCTGAAATGCCAAGAAGAAGTATAGGAACAAATGTTCGCAAAGGATTCGCACGGAGCCATTTTATTGACGGACTAACACTCCGGAAGTCACGTGTTATGTTTGCGGAGGTCATTTGAAAATTTATCATCGATCACAATCTTCAGGTAATTTGTTTTAACGGGGTTCATATTTTAATAAAAGCCCATAGCGGCTTCATTACCAACCAACGACTTTAGATGGGGACTGTGTACGAGGGTTATTTTTTTTAACAGAACGAGTAGTAGACTTGTGCAGGTAACAGCTTCGACTGATATCAGGCATCTCCTCCACAGGTCCTCCCACAAGGAGTCATGGTGAAGAAAAAGCGTCTTCGTCTCATAGCAGAGATGGCTCGGAAGATCCGCGCCTACCGGGAGCTGAAGAACCGACCGCGGGACTCGCAGAAGTACGCCCTCGATTATGACACCATGAAGCGGCCTCTCACTGGGAAGATGCTGCCCGTGCTGGCTTGGACGGATGTCCGCCGCGAGAGTCGCCTGTTCTCTCTGATGGCCGGCATGCGGATGTTCGGAGTGGGACGCGTGTTCACTCGCAAGTCGTGGCTGGAGGACCACACGGAGCCCAGTTACTGGCAGATCACCAAAGTAAAGGTGGATTACACAGCTGAGGTAAGAACAGTCTCATTTTGTCTTGTGAGGAATGGCAGTGGTGGATGACCTTAACACAATCAGAAGTGCTGACTCAAATTTACAACCTCAACACGACTATTTGTTCAAACTCATTTTTTTATGCAGGACATGGATCATGGAAAAGCCTGGGGCATCCTCACCTTCAAAGGTAAGTAACCAGAGTATCGTAAATTCAAACTATGCCCAGAAAATATTTGTCAGTTACAATTTGGTACTTTCATTTTTTGTACATCAGTGGTCCTTTTTTTGGGCATCTTTTCAAGATGCAAAGTCTGTAAAATATATGTGGATAAAATGTCTGACGTGAGGAAGGCAGTTCTGGTTTTTATTCTGTCATAATTTTATAGCAAGGAAAATATTGGAGTAGAAGAAATGTAATTTAACATTTCACCTTTTGCCAATAACTTCACAAATGCATGGCAGAAATCTAAAGATAAATGAATCAGTTCTTGATTTTTTTTCTCTTTTTTGTACTTGAAAAAAATCCTCTGTTGTAGAGTAAAATATTAAAGAACTATTGTAAAAATAGTCAAATGTTCGGCCTGTAATTTTTTTTGTTGTCAGTGTTAAAGGACCAAAAAGTAATTATATTACTGATATATTTTTTAAAATAATTGTCAGATTAATCTGTAATCAGAATTTTTTACTGCCAAACTGGCATCGGCCTCAAAATAAATAAATAAATAGTTGAATGTATGCATCTGGCAGGTAAAGCGGAGAAAGAGGTCAAAGAAGTGGACAAAGTGATGTACCACGACTGGCGCCTTGTTCCCAAGCACATCGAGCAACAATTCAAAGACTTTGTGCCCCTTCCTGACCCGCCTGTGCGATACGTCCCTTATCCTCCGCTGCTACGCGCCATGAAGCTGGCGCGACACAAGCAAACAGAAGGCACCGTCCTAACAGAGGAGCCTCTTCTGCCTTTAGAAAGGGAAGTTGTGCTCACCAAAGACTATTTCCGGAGTCAAGACCAAGGGAAGATGGTGAGACAGGAGACGGCTGTGTGATGTCCAGAATTGTGACGCTCGAGCACAAGAACCATATGGCGCTTCTATCATTTGGAAGGGACCGGTTTCATGTGTTGAAATTACTTGTGATATATATATAATTAAAATTTCAATTGAATGTACTCTGTATTGCTTTTTTTGTTGTTTTTTTTACTCTCACCGCTCTTGAAATAGACCAATTCCAGTTGTCCAGCTGAGTATTTAATGCAAATTGTATGGTGCAACTAGGACTTGAAGGGAAGTCCACCCCCCCCACAATATCTTTGCCATATGTTATTTGCATCACCACGAGTATGTAAACATCGTATTCGGATCAATATTGCGTTTGTGGTATATGAGTTACATCCATAAACCACAATCGCATCTTTCAATGTAAACAAGATGAAGCTCAATACTGAGAGCATGTGATTTTATACAAAAAAAGTGTTGTGTGTTGAATATGAGTAAGAATAAATGTAATACTCTGGAATAACGCTGGAAAATAACTGCGGAAAAAGTCAAAATTGCCGCAACTTGTTTTACCAGGTTGTACACGTCAGAACCAATATACTAAGGTCCCGGAAGATAGTGAAAATACAATGTCGAGTTAGGGGAATTATCATGTAGGACATAAACATATGTATTATAGCACCATCAAGTAATATAAACAATTTTTCATTGGGCATATTAAGTACGTAAATAAATCGACAAAGTCGAAGAAAGAGTCCGCATGCGCTTATTTTGCTGCAAGGACTCTGAACACGTCCACCACTCGGCTTAGAAAACCAAGCGCGTGCTGAACTCTGGTCTTGCTCCCCCAAAGTGAACATCCTCCACAGCCACCATGATATGCTTCTTTCTCTCCTTGTTTTCGCAGGTATTCCAGTCAGGTCAGTGTTGTATCCGTTTCGATCTTGCAATTCATAATTCTTGTTTACGGCTGGTCAGGACAGCAATGCTAGTTTGGCTAGCTGGTGGTGAAGTTGTTGGAAGTCGCGTGGGATTGTGGGATGTGGTGGCCATTTTGGAGCTAGAGCCGTTTCTATGGTAAATGTAAACAAGGCTTTGTCGTCGCTGCGTGGCGCTGCGGGGTGTGAGTAGATACAGGGAAGGCGTGTTGACTGTAGTGGTTGTGTAGTGTGTACTGGTCATTTCCATGTTACATCATTCATTTGACATTAATTAACCCTTCAGGTGATGACCGGATCAAAATCACACCTTCATTTGCAAATTTGATTTCATAGTTGTGGTTATTTTTTTTTTCCTTCTCCAGGCTGGACAGGTGTGAATGAGCGCACCTTTATCGCTATCAAACCAGACGCTGTGCAGCGGAAACTGGTGGGCGAAATTGTGCAGCGTTTTGAGAGGAAAGGCTTCAAACTGGTGGCGCTCAAACTTGTGCAGGTATAAGACGAGAACACCACCTACAGTGCCTCATTACTTATTATTCTTCACACCAAGTGTTTGTGTGTGTGTGCTTCAGGCATCAGAGGATCTTCGTATGGACCACTATTGGGATTTGAGGAACAAGCCTTTCTTCAGTGGACTGATTCACTACATGAGGTCTGGGCCAGTGGTTGCCATGGTGAGTTGATCTTGTGTTAGAATTGTACCAGTATTACAATAAGTTTTTGGCTCCTTGTTGTTTTTCACTTCACTCAAGTGGAAGTGCATCTGAAGCTCACTCCTTACTGACATTTTTGCTTGCAACGCAAATTAATTCCAGTTGCCATGGCTACACACACCTCCATTGAACACATGTAACACTCCTTGCCTACATGTCCGTGTGTTGATTCAGGTGTGGCAGGGTCTCAATGTGGTCAAGACAGCGCGCACGATGTTGGGCGAGACCAACCCGGCTGAGTCGCTCCCTGGGACTATTCGCGGAGATTACTGCGTGGATGTGGGAAGGTAAGAACAACCGACGCTCGATTTACATGGGGCTAATAAAAAGAACTAAATCAGAAGGAATAACCCCAGTCAAGCCAAATGATTATTCGGTGTGGTGATGTCATGTGTGTGCGTGTGCGTGCTGGCAGGAACGTGATCCACGGCAGTGACTCAGTTCCAAGCGCCCAGAAGGAAATCTCCCTGTGGTTCAAGCCTCATGAGCTCCAGCTGTGGGAGCGCAACAGCACTCCCTGGATCTACTGAGCACCTCCACTGGGCTTCTGCATTTCAGCTTTGTCATCGGACCTTGGCGTCAGTCACTTGATAAGATGTGGGACGAGGTATACTTGGGCTTGTTTTTTTTGTTTACCAAAACATGTCTTTTTATACTTGAATTACAATTTTGCGGGGCAAAAGACCTGAGGTACAACTTCAATTGAACACCAGCATTGTTATTAATAAGTAAAATGCTCCAACAAAATCTCTCACACGTGCTATAATGTTGAATTAGAAAAAAAAAAGCCTGTCTACTATTCTGTTAAAACAATTGAATTGCACTTTCTTCCAAAGTTTTGCTGTGAGAACAGTGACCTAATTAAGAATAAATATAAAGATGTAAGCACTGAGTTTTCCTGAGTCATACATAGTTTGACAGTCTGACTGATTTTGCTGTGTGTGGCGCACCAGATAAGTCAGAAAAGCAAAAGTGAGAAACTCAAAGAAAGATTGTGACGAGAACGGCGACAATGATACCGCAAGCCCATGTTCGCCAGTGAGCAAATAGTCCATTTAAATGCACAGGAGTTTTTTTTGCCCATTGGCAACATCCAACGGCCACTCAATCGATTCCCTTTGTTCATGATGATACATGATGGGTTTGTTTTGAAGTTGTTCAAAGAATATATTTCTCCGCTCAGTCTGGACGCTTTTCTATCACGATATATTGCACATATCGACGCAGCCGTTTATCAGCACACGTACGTTTAATAGGTTATCATCCACACAGAGATCGATGCATGAATTTCCATATTGACCATAGAGGATGTGGACTTTGGAGACATTTACAGTGACCTGTACACACAGTGACGACAAATTCACCTGCTTTCCGTCACCCGAAACACCGCAATGACATCAGATCTTAAGTAGGAATCAGGCGGCCGCAGGTTTTACCAAGGGGTCCTCCCGACTCTTGCTCTTGAAGGTTGAGGTGAACATGCCTTCACCATCCATTTGCAATCACGACAAAGTGATTCAATTGTTAATATTCCGACAAATAGAACTATTGGCTACTTGAAATGTAATCTCAGCATCTTTTTGTTTTTGGTACGTACAATGGAGTTTTTTTGGGGGGGAAAGAGGGCGGGGGTGGGGGGCTTTGAGAAGGATTTCACGTTTGCCAACTGGCAAACTAAAGGAAGCGAAGGAACCGTGGGGCTGATGCGGGACAATATAGGGCATAGTGCTTGAAAGGCGAATACACGACAGATAAGGTCCAGTAGTTATGAAGCCGAGTTACAAGGCCCACAATGATATTTCGAATGCCCTGATGGGGGACGGGAAAAGCATGGCAGGCAGATTAGGAACGTACGAGGCAATAAGGTTAGTAGTTGACGGGGCACGAGGGATGATGGACAGCTTGTACGATAATGGATTGAGTAGGGAGAACTTATACATGAGCGGGGATTTTGCATGACAGAGTTTGAGTGGCTGCGAGGAGGAGAGTCATGAAGAAATCACTCGGGAATGTAAGACACCTGCCACACGATGATGTGGCTCCGCTCCGCTTTGCACAAAGCAGGTTTGACCTGGGAAGCGCCATCGCTTTCTCCTTCTTCTGTCTCATCGTCCTCACCATCCCCTGAGGACAACACGTAAAAAGACAAACATGTCAAAAAGTTCTCCATCTTGATTTTCATCTATTCATTACGGAAGCTGTTTTTTTTTTTCTTTTCTTTCTCCCTCCTGCTTGGTGAATGCTCACCTATGCGGAAGTCAATGTAACCCTCGCCGCCGCTCAGCACGAGCACATTTTGAACACTCTGGGCTTCCGTCTCCGGAGGGGCCGCGGAGGCCGGACCCTCCGTCGGGCTGTCCAGCACGCTGCCATTAAGCGTGGCCAGAACGTTGCCTTTCACAAGCAATGAAAGGGTGTCAGAGGAGAGCACGGCGTGTCGTCAAGAGAGTCAACAATTGTGCTGGAGATCATTTGTCAATGCTCCTACATCAGGGGTGTCAAACATACGGCCCGCGGGCCGTAACCGGCCCGCAAGGAGGTTTGATCAAGCCCGCAAGATAATTTAAAAGTGAAAAAATGCATAAAAGACTCGGAATGAATATTTTTAATGAGGTGCATTTCATGGAATATCCGCTAGGGGGACACACTGTTTTGATCGGAGAAAAAGAACATTGTTTTGATCAGAGAAGAAGACAACAGCCTCAGTCTGTCACTGAGACATACCCAAAACAGCAGACGCAATCAAGGACGTGAATACTTTATTCTTGACACATATTGTAGCATTCTCCTTAGTTTGTAAGGTGGAGGCAGGGATTACATTTAGATTTTATATGCTCGTGTAAATGGTTTAAAAATTCCTTTCTTTATAAATCTCGTTCATTAAATTTCAACATTTTCCGAGTGTTCTTGTGCATCTTTAGACCAAAACAAAGGAAAGACATGTTATTTTGGTTATTTATAGCAGAGTACGGTATAATTTTTAATGGTCCAGCCCACTTGAATTCTACCGAGGCCGTATGTGGCCCACAATGTGAAATGAGTGTGACACCCCTGCTATACATTGTCGTTTTTTTTCTGCTAAAAACGCCTTACTGTACATGGTTGTTTTTCTGGGCTAAAAACGCCTTACTATACATGGTCGTTTTTTTCGGCTAAAAACGCCTTACTATACATGGTCGTTTTTTTCGGCTAAAAACGCCTTACTATACATGGTCGTTTTTTTCGGCTAAAAACGCCTTACTATACATGGTCGTTTTTTTCGGCTAAAAACGCCTTACTATACATGGTCGTTTTTTTCGGCTAAAAACGCCTTACTATACATGGTCGTTTTTTTCGGCTAAAAACGCCTTACTATACATGGTCGTTTTTTTCGGCTAAAAACGCCTTACTATACATGGTCGTTTTTTTCGGCTAAAAACGCCTTACTATACATGGTCGTTTTTTTCGGCTAAAAACGCCTTACTATACATGGTCGTTTTTTTCGGCTAAAAACGCCTTACTATACATGGTCGTTTTTTTCGGCTAAAAACGCCTTACTATACATGGTCGTTTTTTTCGGCTAAAAACGCCTTACTATACATGGTCGTTTTTTTCGGCTAAAAACGCCTTACTATACATGGTCGTTTTTTTCGGCTAAAAACGCCTTACTATACATGGTCGTTTTTTTCGGCTAAAAACGCCTTACAATACATGGTCGTTTTTTCGGCTGAAAACGCCTTACGATACATGGTCGTTTTTCAGCAAAAAACGCCTTACGATACATGGTAGTTTTTTTTCAGCCAAAAACGCCTTAGTAGACATGGTCGTTTTTTTCATCCAAAAACGCCTTACTATACATGGTCGTTTTTTTCGGCTTAAAACGCCTTACAATCCATGGTCGTATTTTTGGCTGTAAAAACGCCTTACTATATACATGGTCGTTTTTTTGGGCTGTAAAAAAAACGTCTTACTCTGCATGGTCGTCTTTTTTGGTTCAAAACACTTGAACATATATGGTCATTTTTTTCTTGTGAAAAATGCCTTACTATACATGGTCGTTTTTTGGCTGTAAAACCGCCTTCCTGTACATGGTCATTTTTTGTTGTTGTTGTTGTGAAAAATGCCTTCCTAGACTGAAAAAAATACTTCCAAAAAATGCCTAACTGTCCATGCGCTCACATTTCAAAAAACAGTCTTATGTATGGACAATGTATAGGGTTTAATACCTGCGTGGTAGTTGAATGGTTAGTGCGTCAGCTTTGCGCTGTGAAGGTGCACGGTTCGAATCCAGCTCCGTCCTTCCTGTCTGTTCTCAAAAATGTGTGTGGTCATTCATTTTCTGATCCATTTTTCCGCTCAACTATTCGAGCTCACAGACACCTATGGACAATGTAAAGTGTTTGTTCATCACCTGACTGTCAGTCCAATGGTAAGTGCGTCAACGTTGCACTGCAGAGGTTCAGGGTTCGATTCCCACTTGAGCCTTTCTGTGTGTTCTCAAAAACATGCATGGCTATCCATTTTGTGATCTTCCCCGCACAACTATTCGCGCTCACACACACACTGAGGAAGAATATAGAGGATTCATTCCCTACCTGGTAGTGGAATGGTAAGTATGTCGGTGTTGTGCTGTGGCAGTGGAGGGTTCAATTCCGGCTGTTCGTTGTGAGGTTGCACGTTCTACCCGTGCCTGCCCAGGTTTCCAAAAATATGTGCAACTTTTCATTTTCTTATCCTCTTCATGCTCACACTGACACCAAGGGACATTGAAGACACAGGGGTCCCACTCTTAGTCTCCGTGACCCCTAACTTGAAACTATACATGGTTGTTTTTTCGGCTGGAAAAACGTCTTCCTGTTCATGGTTTTTTGTTGTTGTTGTTGTGAAAAATGCCTTCCTAGACTGAAAAAAATACTTCCAAAAAATGCCTAACTGTCCATGCGCTCACATTTCAAAAAACAGTCTTATGTATGGACAATGTATAGGGTTTAATACCTGCGTGGTAGTTGAATGGTTAGTGCGTCAGCTTTGCGCTGTGAAGGTGCACGGTTCGAATCCAGCTCCGTCCTTCCTGTCTGTTCTCAAAAATGTGTGTGGTCATTCATTTTCTGATCCATTTTTCCGCTCAACTATTCGAGCTCACAGACACCTATGGACAATGTAAAGTGTTTGTTCATCACCTGACTGTCAGTCCAATGGTAAGTGCGTCAACGTTGCACTGCAGAGGTTCAGGGTTCGATTCCCACTTGAGCCTTTCTGTGTGTTCTCAAAAACATGCATGGCTATCCATTTTGTGATCTTCCCCGCACAACTATTCGCGCTCACACACACACTGAGGAAGAATATAGAGGATTCATTCCCTACCTGGTAGTGGAATGGTAAGTATGTCGGTGTTGTGCTGTGGCAGTGGAGGGTTCAATTCCGGCTGTTCGTTGTGAGGTTGCACGTTCTACCCGTGCCTGCCCAGGTTTCCAAAAATATGTGCAACTTTTCATTTTCTTATCCTCTTCATGCTCACACTGACACCAAGGGACATTGAAGACACATTTTTGTGCCAAAAACGCCTTACTATACTATGTCGTTTTTTTCGTGCCAAAAACGCCTTACTATACTATGTCGTTTTTTTTCGTGCCAAAAACGCCTTACTATACTATGTCGTTTTTTTCGTGCCAAAAACGCCTTACTATACTATGTCGTTTTTTTCGTGCGAAAAAA